TTCATAAATTTTATGTAATTACTTATATAAATTACTTAATAAAGATATGAGCAAGGCCTCACCTTAAAAAAAAAAAATAATAAAAAAATAAATAAATAAATTGCAACTATTGGTTTGTTATATATATTATATAATTAGTTAAAGTTAGATAACTATATTCATGCTGATATTGTATATAAAATAATTATTTAACAATAAAGATTTAGTTCATTAGTATCAAATAGTTTTCTAGACTCTTTATAGAATTTTAGATTTGATTTGCCAAGAAATTTATAAAATAAATGAGTTATGCAAAAGCTTTTTTCTTTTAATTTTGTATTATTATATATGTCAATATACCAAAGTGCTTCTAATAGTGCAATAACAAATTGTTTTCTTCTATTGTTTACAAGTTTTTGTGTTGATTATCCACCTTTATGATGTTGAATTCAGTTAGCAATATCCAGACATAACAGTTGTTTATGATTCAATTTTGGTAAATATGAAAATTGAGATATATAATATTGGTTACTTGAAATTGACCAGGCTGATTTTATAATAATATCAAATCTATTTTGATACTTAAGAGAATTGTTTGATTATAATTCATCCTCATAAAGATAATAATGAATATTTTTTCAAATTTATTGGTGAGTTTAATAATTTTGCAATTCAAGCTTGCTTAAATTTTTTCTAAATTGGTAAATTTACTTAATTTAACATATTTTATTTGTTCAAACATATTTATTTTGACTATTGTATTAGGTAATATCTTATCATTAATAAGTTTATAAAAAATTTTTTTAATAGTTATTTATATAGAATTGAGTATATATACTACCCATATAATATTTTTTTCTTTTCAATATATATATATTTGCAAAAGGTATGTTTCAAAATAATTTTATTTAATAAAAAAATTTTTTTTAAAGTCTTGAGAAATAGTTACTTTTTAAATATAATCTATATAATAGACTATTTTACAGTTTTATAATAATTATTAAGATGTCTTTTTATATTCTTCTTTCTTTTATTACCAATTATATATTTCTAGTTATTATTATTATTATTATTATTATTTTCTTTTTTTTAAGCTATATTAATTAATCATTTTTGTTTTTTTTTATTCTTTTTTCAGGTTATAACTAATATACGGATTTGATTATTTACATTATAGTAAATTTATGAATTGCAAATATTAGTTTTTAAACTTAAATTTTAGTTATCAAATTAATATATTAATATAATGAAAAATGTTTTTGGATCTGATAATAAGTTTAATCTATCTTTCTTATAGGTTAAATCATTTTACCTGTTTTAACATATCTTGTTAAAATAGAAATTTAATTAAATAATTCATTGTACTTTGGAAATATTGATTATCTTAGTTAATAATTAGTATCTACATAGTAGTCAATTTTCAAAATTTGGGGCATTTTAAAATTCTCTACAATAAAGTTTGTGTCTTGTTATTTCAATTATATTTATCTGATTAAAAGCTTGAGAAAAACTAGATTGCAATTCTAGTTTTACTATCAAAAAAATTTTGTAATCATGGGATTAGATAAGTATAAATAAATTAATTGCTATTTTTAGTAATACAAATTATTAATTGTAAACAAATTTGCTTAGAATAAATGAGATTAATAAAAAACAATTTATGAAAATTATAGAATTATAAATTGTTATAATTTATGTTACTCATATATAATAAATATAATATAAATCTAATACAAACTTCAACTGGGCTTTGTAATAAAAACTCAATAAAAATTATGATTCAAATACAAACTAACTTAACTTTATCTACACATATGTATCGCTGAAATAATAAGTTTTATTTCATAGGAAGACTTTGTATGATTTGCAGTTAAGTCAAATTAATTTTACATTATTTATACAGTTTAAAGTACTTTTTTTTTAAAAAAAAATAAAACTACACATAATAAACAAAAAAGAAGTATATAGAAAGGTTTATTAGGATTGTAGAACTCTACTATTGAAAATAATCAAAATCCCTTTTTGTTTTAGAGAAGTTAGCATAGTAGCGACTTCTCAAAGATAGATAGAATTAGGTTATTACTATGCTAACTTCTCTAAACCAAAAAGGAATTTTGATTATTTTTAATAGTGAAGTCCTGCAACCTTAATAAAACATTCTATATACTTTTTATTGTTTATTCTGAGTAGTTTTATTTTTTTTAAAAAAAGTACTTTAAACTGTACAAAATAATGTAAAATTAATTTGATTTAAACTGCCAATCATACGAAAGTCATCTTATGAAGTTTTATTACAGCAACTACGTAGAAATTGCGATAATTCCAATAACATGCTATGAGTAGTTAATAGTTTGCAGTTCAATTTGTTCGTCATCTTTTTGTTCTGAGTCAGTTGAATTAAGAATTTTCGTTAGAAGTGGGAGTGTGTAACATAATCATTACAATAACTCAATTCTGGGTTTGTGAGTTTAATAGTTTTAATTTGTCGAAGTATTTAAGATAAGCAATTAACCTCATTTTTATTCATTCTGATTTAATACGTGTATGAACATAATTATCACTTATTAACCGAAATTAATAATTATTCGATTTTTTATTGGCATTGATTTTATCTGTGGGCATTAATTTACTAAAAATTCAAGAAATAGATTATTTGCCATTAGAATATCAACTCACCACCGTTAGCGGTGGCACTGCTTTCCGGATAAACATTTTTTTGAAAGTTAAGGATAACCTGATTTAGAATAAGAGTCATATAAACTATTCTACTAATATTACTTAATTCACGTTTAATGAAAATTACGAATTCCTGATCAAGCTATTAAAATTTTTATAAAAAAAAAAAAAAACTAAAAAGGTTATTAAAATTTTCATATTGTCTTTATATTCACAAGTTCGCTAAAATTCCTTTAAATTCGCAAATAAGATCTATTAACAGTTTTTTATTATTTAATTTCTTAATCAAATTTTTTTTTAGCTCTTTATATAATACAGTCATCATCCTCCATAATAACCCAGCACTAATGAAATCGTTTGTTATAAAAAAACTCCCATTAAATCTGGCAAAACTTATAAGCGAGAAATAATAAATTCATTTTTTATATATTTAGCACATAGACAAACAAATGATTGATCATAAGGATAACAAGACAGTAAAAAAAAAAAAAAATAGACACCATTTTTACATACTACTATCGCTATTAAATTAAATATATAGATTAAAAATGCAAATCACACGCTCGATTCTTGCTCAGTGGTTTTAACGATAATAACTGTACAATCGCAGTGATGACTACAGTAATCGCTCACAGAACCAAGGAATATACTATTAAGTGAAAAAAATATTGTTACTATTAAATATAATAAAAAAGAGATATTAATAATATTCGTACAAACCGTTTCAAAGCACCTAAACCACGAGATCCAACTATTAAGGCACTTGCTTTTAATTCAGAAACCTTACGAACGATTTCGTCGCGTGCATCTCCTCGCATAGCTATGGCTTGACAAGCAAACTATAATATTGTAGAATTAGATGGATTTCAAATTACCAAGTATGCGCACATACAATTATACATACATCATGACTTTTTAGTTTTGCTGAAAATTCTTTTAAAAGAGTATGACTACTAACACGATGCTAAGACGAAAGGTAACGATAATTTTAATTGTAATTCAAGAAAAATTTTAAACTTTAATATTTTATTTTCTACAGTCATACAAATGGAAGACCGCAAACTCACTTGTTCTTCTAAACTTGCTACGACTTCAGTAAAATCCATATAACTAGCGCCAAGAGCTGCTTATGGTTTACAAAAAGTTGATTAAAATTGGATTATTTATCATTAATACACAAGACTTACAATATTGACTTACAATATTGACCTGGAACTGTTGGAATCGGTCGTACATTGACCAGTACAACCTTGATTATTAAATATAAAAATAAATTTTAGTTCTTATAAATAAATCAGGCAGGCATATGTATATAATCTTTACCAAGTCGCCATCCTTTCTCAAGAAATTTTTAATTGCCCAATCAAATGCATTCTGACTATGCTCGGATTGATCAATAGCAATTACAACCACACGAGAGATTGGATTTTGGGACTCTGCATCTTGAGCACTCGTGAGAACCGTATCGGCAGTTACGGGTGAAGCTTGTCCTTGAGTTATAGTGGTTTTAGTAATATCAGACATTTTCCTGAAAAAAAAAAAACCTCGTTAGATTGACTTTGCTTTTATAAGAAAAATATTGAATAATCTGCGCATCCTATTAAAATCACTCCATAAAATCTGACCATACATCATACCATTACAAGTATGATGTCATTAAACCACTCTGTCAATCATTAACAAATTTGGGATGCCTAAAGCGGAGGCAAAATCATGTGATTAGCCGCCGATCAAATTACTGTTGTCATGCGTTAAATTTTACTTTTCTATTTTTATTACGTAAATATTTTTTTTAATATTATTTTTCTTCTTTTTTCTTTATTTAGTTAGTATTATCTTTATATTATGCGCCGTTATTTTATATTTCTCTTATTTTGGGAAAGGATCGTTGTGGCATGGTAGGCTGATTTAATACCC